TGACTGTGCATCTTTCCTACAGCCCTGGAGTCACTGCTCACCTGCTCATTAAAACCAAATTACACAGTTCAAACTTGCAGCACAGAGCTGAACAGGCTATAACACACCTCATTCTCTTAATGAGAACGCAGCCACTTTGGGTGGCCACCTGTGTGGTGCTGCGTGTGCCCCACTGGAGAGTGACACCAGGGAGCGTCAGGTCAGTGCTGTCATCTGTCTCTGACAAACACAACTAATTAAAGGTGTGAGGAGCTGCTTGGCTGGATTATTGCCCAATGGGAAAGACAGCCACTTACAGTGACAGTCAAGTACTTCATTAAAATTCAAGGATTCATTTGCAACACTGCCCTTGCAGAAAGGCCTTTTTGTTACCACATGAAGTGCCCAAAAACACTTGTTCATTGTACGCATTGATAACTAATTTACTTTGACAATGCTGAGCTGTAATTTGTTAAATTCATACTTGCAAACACATGATTAAAGAGGAATTACTGATACTTGGCATGTGTGGAGAAAGAGGGTATGTCATGTGACCCTCAAGGGACACACAGACCCATCAGAACCATCAACGATCTTTCTTGCACATAGGTGGCCAATTCTAATTATGCCAAGATACAGTACTGACAAAGCAAAGTGAATGGTAGTGGTGCACAACACTGTGCTTAACAATTAAGTTTGAACTCAGACTTGTTTCAGACCCACTAAATACCTTTGGGATGAGTTGGAGTGGTGTTTGTGATCCAGAACTAATCATCCAACATCAGTATCTGGCCACACACACTAATGCTCTTGTGGCTAAATGGAATCAAATTCTCACAACAATATTCCGAAATCGAGTGTAAAGAAATTAGAGATTAAAGAAAAATTAGAGATTGTTATTGCAGCTAAGGGGTGACAATCTCCTTATTAATACCATTGATTTTGGAAGAATCATTGGATAAGCAGGTGTCTACTGACATTTAGATATGCAGTGTGCATTTCAGTTTACTGTCAGGTCCTAGATACCATATGTAAAGCACAGAAATTAGAATTTCCAAAAACTGAAACAGGAAACAAGGACACTTGGAATAGAATGTTATGTGTACAATGCTCATTATCAACAGAATTTACAGAAAATCTATATTAACAATGCATCAATGTCATGGTAATGATTATATATCAGCCAGAACTATGGAGAATGTCAGTTCAATTCAATTTGTGCAATGCAAGTAAAATGTAACGCAATGGAATTTTTTTTTTTACTGAGGCACCAACTACAACCACATAAACAGCCTTTAGAGACACAGATGCTAAGCTATAGAGAACAACCACATAAGCAACCTTTAGAAGAGATGCTATTTTTTCAGATGATAACTGAAGTAAAGCACTATATAGCTCTATAAAATAAATAAATAAATAAATAAGTCTGGTCAAGCTGTGCATACTGTTTCTTATAATGAACTACTCATTGTTCTTACTATTCATGCTACCAGTCACACTGGAACCCAAAGGTCATATTTGCAGTCGCCATTGTGTCAGAAAAATGGGTTTCGGAAAACTGACGCTCGGCCGCCTTTGTGTCAAAGCACGAGTCTCTTATCTTTCCTCGCCTCTACTGTGAATGCTTATGAATGGGTAGGACGGGAGCAAAGAGCAACTCATTTATGAAAGATATGTCTATGGTGAGAATATCAAAATTATTTCATGGAGTTTCTATGCACACTAGAGTAACGGAAGTAAGCAGCAAATCGATGGATGGATGGACAGACGGATGGATCGATCTTTTTAAGGGCCCATATCGCTTTGAAAGAAGAATCTGATGAGCAGTACTGTGCAGAGGTCAAAGACTATTTTAATTATCCAATTTCCGGTCAAAATGGCCTTTAACCACAAGTTAACAGAATTTTTCAGTATTTAATGTGCCCACCCTTCTCCTTTATTACAACTTTCATTCTTTTCAGGAGACTTCATTTTAGTTTTTTCAAAGAAATCTGCAGGGATATTTTTCCACAACTCTGGAGTTCAGTCTTAGCAGTTGGTTGCATGTTCTGTTTCTCACAGTCCATGTGCAAAAACCAAGCTGCAAAATTCTTTTTGGCTAACTACTGGGAAAATCAAAATATTTACATATAACCAATCATTCCACCTATAGCTGTTTAGCACCGGCCAATCATATTGAAGTTACAATGTCTTTTTACCTTCATGAGGTGCAAAACAGGGCAGTCAATCAGAACAGGTACCACATGAGGCACAATAACAAAAATAGTCTTTTTAATTCCAAAGAATAATGAGAGATTGGAAAATGGTCATGTAAAAATGAATTGAGACTATTTTTGGTATATAAACCCACACAAATGTCATAATGGGAAAATGTGAGTGGGAAATAATAAAATGCAAGAAAAATATTGTAAATGGGCTCCTCAAAAAACTCTTACTACACTAGCATTCTACCATACTACATTAGCATAAAACAATGAAGACAACAATACATAAACTTTTGCAGAAAGCATCATGATAAATAAGTGAAACTTCTTCTGAGGACAAGAAATATTTTAGGATGTTGTGCATGCTGCTTAGCCTGAGGCAGAGTCTTTTCTAGCCCAGTGTGGCACAATATGCCTAATGACAGTGTCCCTCCAGCTGTCAACCCCTATTGAGACGACAACACTGGAATGCTCTGGAATGTTCTACAGCCTTGCCAGCCAAATAAAGAAGCAAAACAGCCTCTGAAACTGACAAACTTCATTAGGTTCACACCACCTCACAATCACTAAGCAAGCTACCTCATAACTATCAGGAGATGGCATTTCATTTTCAAATAAAATAAGCAGCTTCTTAAATGATGACCCTTGTGCTGTTTTGCTCACACGTTTAGAGATTAGAAAAAAGTGTAAGATCGCTTCCTTCCTTAAGGGAGCTCTGTGGCTGGACTGTGACTGCACATGCTACATTGCTAATAAATGCCCTCCTTTCTTTGACAGCACTATTTTTGCCTGAGAGGTAATAAAGACTCATTTGCCTTCGACTGCAGTAATCAATGCAATTTTCACGCCATTTAGAGCTAAGCGGAACCAATTCTTGTATCCACTTCCTCATTATTAGTGAGTTTGTAGTTAATGACTGAGACGTAAGAGGGATGACTGGGACACCATGGATCCCCCTCCCTTCTCTCACCTGCCTCTCCAGCTAAGGTTTACTGATCACTTAAGGCTACTTATTTAAATGTCTCATCACAAATCATTTCTGGAGCATCCACTAGACTTAATATTGACACACTAAAGACCCAATCAGGACACTGCAGTAACTCGCTGGACACTTTTTAGTACTAGAGCAACAGAGCATTTCAAGTAACACGCCAAACTTGGTGCAGCAATGATTGACTGGGGCTTTAAATTCTGAATCAGTTTTGGGCTTAACAGCTTTCAGATACAACACTCCATCAATAACAAAACAGGAAAACAAGTAGCAATCTCCTTTTTTCATGTATGTAAGTATGTGTGTGTATATACCTCTGTAATTGCAGAACTACAAAGTGCACCTATATAGTAAGTGGAGCTGATAAAATAGACAATGAGCGTAGAAACAAGGAGGTGGTCATTGTTATGCCTGATTGGTGTATATATATTTGTTAACATAATTTATAAACACTGTCTTTACATTGTGTAAACATTTCATAATGAATAGATCAGCAGAAACAGTAACAAAATTACTTAAAATAAAATCTCACTACATTACCTTGCTTTTTTTCTTTTTTGTTCTCATGCGAGTTTATTGTTTTTGACAGGGATCATTATGCTCAACAGTAGTCTTACTTAGCAATATTGCAAAATCGTTTACAACTATAGAGACCTTAGTAAGTTTACAAGATCAGAAAGTGGTAAGAGGACCCCTTTCAATAGACATATGATATATATATATTATATATTTTTCTATCTTATTTCCTCATTCCACTCGCCTTGTCCAGCTCATCAATATTTTCAGAACACCCCCCTGACACAAACCTTGCACAAAACTCTATAGGGCTGCTTTCATGAGATCACACACTTTTTTTTTTATCAGTCCAATAGGAAACAAGGTTTTGTTTATCAAGCAAAATACATGCAGCATACAAGCAAGTAACATGCAGCAGCAGCATAACTAAGCATCTGACAGAACCTCACGCAAAACAGTGGTTTGTCTTGTTTTATCTGCAAGTGTAATGGTTATTTCCTGTCAAAGAAGGTGGTTCTTCACCAAGCTGAGTGACGAAACCCACCACTACTAGTGTAGAAGATTAGGATTTTATATTTGCCCTCGCCTACCGATTAGAGTGCCAGGAAAATAGGTTACACTGCCTTTAATTTTGGTCTTTGTTTGGCATGGAATGAATGTGGGTGAGAACATACAGAGTTTACCTTCTGCTGAAATTGTACAATTTGAATTTGTTCTTTTCCTGTGACTGTCAGGGCACGCCTATCTTTGCTTATGTGAGTTTATCATTTTTCTTCCTTTGTTTTAGATGGAACTGTGTATTTTCTTTCTTTACTTCTTCCTGCATATTTGAATTCATTTGTTTGTAATTGTAACTTTCTTTCTATCCTTTGTATTTATGTAGTTACCCTCTCTTTGCCTAGAATAGTGGAAGGAATAAATGAAAGCATCATCACATTAAGCATGTTTGTCTTGCAATTTGAAAATATTATTCTGTTGAATAAAGTATTCAATAGCTGCAGCCCTAAAGCTCCGTGAGTGGAATGCACAGTTTCTGCTGTAAATATACAGTAAAAGAAAACAAATAGGCCTATTCAGGGCATGTTTATTTGGTTTTGCTGGAGTTTCTTCATCTACTTTCCCGTTCTAAGCTCAAACTTGACTGTTCATTTACTGCTGCAGGGTCCACAGCCCATCAGGCAATGCCTGACAACAACCACATAAGCAACCTTTAGAGGAGTCAAACACAGATGCTTGGCCTTATAACAGATGGCAAACATTTGCTTTAAAAGCACAGCAAACAGAGCTCAGTTTGGTGGTGAATGCCTTACCCACTGCCTTGCAGGTCTTGGTAACCGGATCCATCTCGTACCCCTCATAGCATTCACACTTGTAGTCGCCTTTGTAGTTGATGCAGATTTGACTGCAGGCGTCTGGGTTCTCACATTCGTCTATGTCTAGAGGAGACATTGGAAACAAGTCAATAGTAAAGCAAGCACACTCAGGATAAAAGGCTTCTGTATTGAAGTGTCTATGTGCAAGATAAATGATGCTAACATGACTGATCTTGTGGCTAATTGCATATTTTATTCTATAACCTAGTCAAATGTCCAAATTGTATACATTCACCATCTAACATAAGACACCACAGTGTATTTTCACAGTCTGTCTATGCCTACACTGTTCTAAGAAAAAGCAGTATGTCCTTAGCAGATGTGCCTTTGTTAAGCAAAGCTATTAAAAATATGTATTTGTGATTACAGGCACGAAATACCAGTCCTAGGGTGATATCAGCAGAGTTAGGTAGAAGCTTTACCTCCACAAGTCTTCTTATCCAGCAGCTTGTAACCTGAGGGGCATTCACACTCATAGCCTATCCGCCGGTCCTTGCATATATGAGAACAGCCACCATTGTTGTTGGCACATTCATTGAGGCCTGTGATGGAGAAAAGAGAGGAGAAGGAAGGAGGGGGGCAGAATGAGTAAAAGGTCAGAAAGTCCAGCTGGGATTGGATGGTGTGTGAAATGTGCCCATGGCAACCTGACAGCAACTGACAGGCGAGTTGTTTCATTTTCATTTTCTCAGTGGAGTTTCGGGCTCGTGCCAGGAGCTTATGAGAAAGTGATGAGCTGAGTAAAATCTTCCTCGCCCGCGCAGGGGGGAGCTGGAAAGGTGAGACATTTGTCTTAAATGCTAAAATTAATAAATAAATAAATATGATAAAAATACACAGCTGAGGATAGAGGAATTCTGCATGTTTGCCTGCATTATTCAGTGAAAAAATGATCTAGCAAAGCTCTGTAGAAAACATCAGAGCAGGGATTTGTTGATGGCTTTTTAAAATACACCCTCCGTTCATGGAGGCAAGGAGCCAGAAAGATACACTGCAGCATCATGTAAAAGTGTTCACTTTCTAATTGCTACGAAACCAACACGTTATTCCATCCTTGGAGTTAGCTATGGAAATGCTGTAACATCCTGCCTCCAGTCACAGCCTTGAAACTATGCTCATTATCATAAGTACCTCGAGAAGCTTTTACCAAACTCAGTGAAGTACGCAGTAATTAGCCTGCCCGCTGTGTGTGTATATGGACGACTGTCTGTATTTAAATGATTATACATGCAAGTATGACTGCAGTTTGTGATCTTTTGTAGAAACAAGGAAATGGAAGGACATAAGAGAATGTGCCTGTTTGTGTATACAGGTGAGAGTCATTAAGGGGGAAAACAGTGATGGACAAATCCAGCGAGAGGGAAAGCGAGAGAGAGTGTTAGTGTAGTGAGAAGAGAACACAGTACGAGTGAGAGAGAAAGAGAGAAAACAAGACAAGGAAAGAGGAAGAGAAAGAAAGAAAGAGAAAAGGAGAGAAAGAGGAAAGGGAAAGAAAGACAGTTAGATAAGAACAGAGAAGAAGAAAGAGAAGAGAGAAAGACAGAAAGAAACAGAGAGAGAGAGTACCAAAAGAGAAAGAGAAACAATGCGACAGAAAAAGAGATAGACAGAAAGAGAGAAACAGAAAGAAAGAGCAGGAGAGGCAGGGCAGAGAGCAGTGAGAGATGAATACTAGCTTGAACAAATGTACATCATGTATAATGGTTAAGGGACATGTGCAGGAATGTGTTGAAAGTGAAATCTCTGCACTGGCCCCACTGGTATTACACTACAGTGGGCCACCTGGAAGCGGCCCAGCATGCACTGGGGTTAGTGGGGGGGCACTGCAAACCAGGTGCTCTTTCTAATCTCATTTGCAGGGGGGAGAGAGCGGAGCAAGAGCCTCGGGGAAATTAACACCAGCCATCTGATTATATATCTTGCATTAAAGATTCAAATCGTGGATAAACCACCAGAGAGAGATAGACAGAAACATAGAGAGGGAGAGACAGAGAGCAAAATTGAGAGAGCGAAATTGAGAGAGCGAAATTGAGAGAGAGAGAGAGAGAGAGAGAGAGAGAGAGAGAGAGAGAGAGAGAGAGAGAGAGAGAGAGAGAGAGCTGTTTGTGCAGGAACATTTACAAACACAAGATGGCCTTTTGGAAATGTCATATGCACTCAATTAACATACTGCTGCATTGAGATGGAGAGCACACAGCAAATTCTCTTATGGAGACAACATTATCACAGGGTTAGTGGAGTCAGAGCTATAGGTGCAGTATCATAACTCATAACAAACAGATTAAGCATGTTCACTTTGCATGTCTGATATGATAGATTTAGTTGACTGACTGAAGATGACATCAAGTTCTTCAGAGGAAGTAAATTATGCAGTGAAAGACGATTTCAGGGCATTGAACTCTGGGCAGGTTATGTGTGCAGACTGATGGGTAATGTAGGCAAGACTAAAGGCGTGCACCCTGGAGAAAATCTGCACTTTGATTATAACTGTTGAATGTATTTCTTTATATAGTGAATGTCCAACTAATTACAAACACATTGTATTAGTAGAAAGTCTATTATTGTGTGTATGGATTTGTTCTAGTATCAGTGGATTTTATGTGTATCTCTGTGTTGCCACACATACCGCACTCCTTAATTGGCTCATCTGACCAGTCCTTGCAGTCTTTGATGTTGTCACAGACCTTGTTACTGTCAATACATTCTCCGTTCTTACACGTGAACTTCAGTGGCCCATCACACTTAGTAGCTGTAAGAGAACACAACAAACAACTTGTACATTTCTTGTCTTTTTAAACTTAAGCCACTTTTTATAGTTTTTCCTTATAGGAATACATTATTTTTTTGTTGTGCCACCAACTAATCCATGTTCTCTTTACAGAAATGTTTTATCATTATTTTACACTCCACAATGGCAGCTGATGAGACTTTTCCTGTTACAAAGTGGTGTAAAACATTACAGTTTAAATTCTTGTCCTGTTACACTTACTGATTTATGTTACTTACTGAATTACATTACTTGTGTTACTCATGTCTCTAACAGAACAATATCAACTATGCACAATGCATTTACAACATATATTTCCTCTATATAGATTACTCATGCCTGTCCTTGTACGTAACTTTCATGTGCCTGTGCCTCCTGCAACAGCTGACTGTGTGACTTTGATTGTGTATATAAGCAGGACAGTGCAAGTGCGAGAAGCTCTGTAAACTTGGCAAATAATACGTTAAAGCACCTAATCCTACTAATACAGATCTGATGGACAGAGGTTCCTGTGCTGAAGAAGAGAGAGCCACACTTTACCTAAACAAGCCAGACTTCATTCATGAACAGCTCTGCAAGCTTTACACTTTATTCATTAAGATTTTATTTTAAGGCAGCTGTTTTTGAACTGTGCATAGGCAGGGACAGAGCCATGCTTTTAAAAATGTTTATTTAGCTAAAAAGAAAGTAATATAAAAATAAAGTACTGAAAAAATTATTAGGTTTTCCCTTGCATGAGTTTTAGAGAGTAATGTAAAAGTAAAGTAATGAGTAATGAGATTACTTTTTTTTAGGAAGTTATAAGCAAAATGATCCCATTACAGATTTAAGTCATTAGAAATTTTTAGTGCATTATTCTTTTGAATAGCTACCTTGACATTGTGTATGACTTTCTGGATTTTGAGAAGTTCATATAATTTTTTGGAAAAAAGCCAAATATCAGCCACCAAAAGTATTCGGCGGAAAATGACCAAAAATGACACTTTCTGTGTACAGCTGAAGCAGTAAAAATACAGACCATTTTGACCAAAAAAGTTACACTGTTAATTTTTTTAGGGTGAAAACGGCCTTTAACAAAGTGTCAAAATATAATAATTTAAAAATTTAAAATCAGTGTAGTTCCAATGAGAATTAGTTCAAAAAGCATATCAAAACGAACACACACATTTGCAAAAAAAATGCAGCATTTACTTCTTTTTTGGCTCAGTATGCACTGAATTTAATTTAGCTTGCAGCCAGGAATTTTCAGCTTAGTGCATCATCACATTTCAGCGATTTCTGATTACATGTTTGCCTGAAGGTAGAATGGTAAGGCAGGAGAGAAAGGGGAGGACAGCAAAGAAAGGAAGTACAGAATCCGAGACTCACTCTTGTTGATGCAGCCCGCTTCATCACTGAAGTCAGGGCAGTCGTGCACACGGTTACACTGCTTAGTGCCATGAATGCAGGAACCATCGCCACACTGGAACTCATCTGGTCTGCAGGTCAACAGAGCTGACACACGCATACATGCACGCACACACACATACACCCACATGCACACACACAAGTGAAACTTTATGACTTGGCATGTTGGTGGTAATTACAGTTTAGTAAACATTTGCATTTCACCTGCAGTCAGGTCAAACACAGAGTGCACTTAAGTTCTAAAGAAATCCTTCATTCTCAACTGAAACCAATCTGTCACTGTCTACATAAAGAACAGGGATATAAAAAAGTGACTGGTTGTGTGATTTGTGCTGTTTGGGCAAAGAGACGTTATTTTTACTCATTCATCTTTTTTAAAGTGTGCTTAATTATTCATGTGGTGGGCTTTAGAAGTGCAGCACCGAGAAGAGACACACTGATGATCAATTTCAGCACAGAAGAACAGATGCTGGCTATAGCTTGGCTCTACAGGCCAACACACAATATACACACCAAAAATAAATTTCTCTTCAGTGGTAGCACAATAGATATTATAAAATCAAACATTAATGATTACTGGGTGTGATTACTGGTCAGTTGCTGAGATGAAATGACAATAAAGGTGACAAAAGCAGCCGTAATGACAACTGATGTTTGTTGGAATAAGTCTTTATAGATGTTAGCGGTTTATGTCAGGTTTATGTCAGTTGTCATGAATGGCTTATCTTGGTGTCAAGTCAAAAGATCATCAACAATCCTTTAAGGGTGATATAGCAGTGACTGAAAAAGATGGAAAATCTTTTGGAAGCAGTACAGTAGTTTTTGTCTGTTGTTTTTAACCTGATTAGATGAGTACTTAAACAAGCAGTTTGTGATTGTTTCTGGAAAAGCTATTTCAAATGCTCCAAATTGGAATTGAAAAGTGTGAGCAATAAGTAGGGCCCAAGAAGTCCACAGAACAGGCCCTCAAAACTCAAGAGGCCTCCTTTATATCCTAACACACACACACACACACACACACACACACACACACACACACACACACACACACACGGTTACTTAGCAACTAACAGGACACTGGTACACAGAATTTGGCGCTTCAACAAACGACATGGCTTTACATGGCTTAGAGCTGAGAACCATGTCAAAAGAGCACATTCTGAAACGCTGGCAGGCACACACATACACATTCAGGAACGTGCTGAACACAGCAGTGTGCGCACAGGATAGAAGGATTCAAAAATGCTCAGTAATTACCTGTCCTTTCCCTCTCTCACATACACAGTATAAATGGAGGCATGTGGGTTTAAAATCTTCTATATAAACATGGTTTATAGTGAAGGATACTGAAAATCAAGACCAGGATGGTGGAGATTAACTGATTTGAATGGCTTTCATTGTATTTGTTCAATGCACATAGCATTGTCCCTGATAAATGCATGATAAGTACTGGGTTAACATTAGTATACTGAACCCCTTACAATGTTTCAGTCAACTTCCAAAGCCATAATACTTTTGTATATGTCACATGAACACAACATAGTTGTGCACAGTTAAAAACGTGACAATTTTTTTAATGACCCAACAATAAATGTAAATTGTAAGGGATTTGATTGGTTGATTTGCACAGGGTCAAGCATCTTCCTTGGATTACCCCAGATAGCCCAGATCAAAACGTCATAAACAAGACTTCATGTCAATGTTAAGAATAAAATGAACAAACAACAAAAACTTACTTCCAGTTCATGTCAGATATAATAGCTTCCTGTTAGCAAAGTAGGCTTATTCAATGTATCAAATGCTGTCCAACAAGACAGAAATAGCCTTACACTGCAAGAGGTAATTTCCTTCTCCTTCTAATTAGTCAATCACCAGAATGCAGATTTCATTAGTCCAGGTTTGAACTTGAGGATTAAGGAACTGTGCCAAGTCAAATTCATTTTAGTGGTTATTCTTGCCTCCCGCTCCTTGTCTACTAACAGAATTTGTTATTATGTTACCGTGAGGTAGATTCAAAAAGGTCTACCATTACTGAGGGATCTCAAGGTTCTGTGAATTAAAGAACATAATTTACTCTGTAATTATTACTTAGCAGGCCCATAAAAACTAAAGACATAGCAGATTCATAGTGGAATAAAATCACAGACCTCCTCTGTGCTCTCAAATTACAGCACTTCCCCAAGTAAAACTAATTCAGCTTCAGTAGCAATAAACACAGTGTCCAAATTTGCATGTACCTGGAGGTGTGTTACTTTTAAATATGGAACAGAAACATCCAAGATATATTTGGGTAGGTATAAACACCACAGCTTAATATGCCACATTCGGCACTACAATTACCCATAATGCATCTATCATACTTTTTTCCTGCTTATACTCTTATTGCACACCTTGCATCGTGGAGACGTCAAAATGTAATTCACTGAGTTTGTTCAGTAGGCATCATATATCACATTAGCAGAAAACGTTGCTCCAGAAATAGCATTACACTTCTCACAATTTACATACAAAAGTTCCTATAATGTAAAGCTGAATCATGATTATTTATAGTATTATGTACATTATAACACAGTGAATTAAAATGCTATTATATTAGAATGACCATCAATGACTGTTTAAATAATTAGAGCATCTGACGAAGAGGAGGAAATGATAAGGTATAGAGGTCAGGAGCACATCAGACATCAAAACATTTGAAGCTGCACCACACTGGCCAGACAATAGAAGAAAAAAAAGTCAAAAGCCCTTCAAAACTCAGCTTCCAAGCAAGATGTAGACTTTTGAGGATAGCTACAGAGAACACACAATCATATCTAAGGAGCTACAGAGTTTATTGGCTGAAAGTAAAGGTGCCCTGGTCCAAAATATCATAAAATTGGCTTTTATGGGATAGTGGCAAGAAAAACAATCACTTGGGGCAAACATTTAAAAGCATATTTTGATTTTGCCAAATAGATTAAAAGTAACCAAATTAACAAGTGAAAAAAATGTTTTGTGGTCAGATGTGACTTAGAACAAGCTTTCTGGGCAAAACTGCTAAAGGTGGTGCAAACCTGACACTAACCATGTTTCAAGAAATAGCATACAGTAAAGTATGGTGGTGGTAGTATCATGCTATATGCCTTTTATCTTCAGGGATAGGGGATCTTGTTCAAACTTAAGGAAGAATGGATGGTGCAAAATACAGGTGAACAGAAGCTGCTTCAGTTCGCTAAGAAACAGAAGCAAAGGAGGAAGTTCACTTTTCAATAGGACTTTTGTATGTTACATGTCATAAATGTGTGCACTCACCAAGAAAAATTTCTTGGTGAAATAAAGTGATTCTGACAATGATCTCAAGGACAATGATCTCAAGCACAAGGCCAAAGCAACACTAAAGTGGCTCAACAACAAAAAGATGAACGTCCTACAGTCAAAGTCCTGATCTCAATCCCAATGAGAATCTGTAGGAAATGTGGAAATATCCACAAGCGTCATCCTACCAAAATGAACAACCTTATTGTAAATCTATCAAGATGAATGAGAAAAAAAATCACTTCCAAACAGTATAAAATTGGTACTTACTCCACTAAAAAGGAGGCTTGACCAAATATTATTGTGAGGTACTTATGCAAGCAACATAGCTCTTACAGTCTTTAATTTTCTTTAATGCTTTAAAAATCTAAGCCCATAAACATCACAATAAAAATACAGATTAGAAAAATATATTAATTATCATTTGTAATTCAGAAAATGTTGGTAACTATTAAGGTCAAACTTATTCATGCTCAACTCATTCACTCTCTTTCTTAGGACATGCTACTACTTACGACAGTTTGTCTCGTCTGACTTGTCCTTACAATCTGCGTCACCGTCACATTTCCAGTTGAGGTGGACACACTCTCCACTGCCGCACTGGAACTCTCCAGCTGGACAGCGGGGTTTCTGTGGCTCCGTCCTGCGGCTACAGCGCTCAAGCGACTCATCTGATTTATCACCACAGTCAGGGTCTCCATCGCAGCTCCACAGAACTGGGATACACTCTGAGTCGTTGCAGCGGAACTCGTGTGGGGTGCAGGTGCTGGCTGTGGATGCTGTGCACTTCTCCTCATCGCTGCCGTCTCCACAATCATCATCACCATCACACACAAACGTGGGTGCCACACACAGCCGATTCCGACACTGGAATTCCTTAGCTGGACAGGCCTTGGCATCTGAGGAGGAGAAGGAGGAAACAATAAGGTAGAGAGATCTGGAGCACATCAAACATCAAAAATTTTGAATTGATACAAAACATTTTGATTTATTTTGAGTGAAGTGTGAGGGTCACTTTAAACTGACCAACACTGTACATGTTAGAGGAGAACTGTTTACTGCATATGCTGTCTTGCAGACATTTTAAGAGGTCAACAGGTTGATTGTAACCCTTAGAAGGCTAGAGTTGTCATTTTGCTATACTATTTTTGCTATACTATAACAGTAATTACATATTACATGACTCAATCTACATTCTGTATCAACAATTCTGAGTGCCTGACTCAGCACATCCAACATTTTTCCATTTGTTTCAATGTCAAAAATAACAAACATGGCAAAAACGTAATGTGTTTCTTCCACAAATCAAGAGAGCTTTTCGCCAAGTTCAGATCAAAATGTCTCCTCTTCTGCTTGGTAACACAAATGCGGCGCATAATATGTACTTTTGACAGCATTTTTCTGCTTGTTTCAATGAGATACTAGAAAGAAATAAGTAATATAAAATGATAACATGTTTTGTCATCATCTGCGATGACTGTGATTTCTACAGTGTTATCTCTACAGTTAGGTCCAAATTTCTCAATTACATATCTAGACCACAGGAAAGAACAGCAGAACAGAACATTCTCAGAATCACAGAGCCCACAGGTTCACTGTTATGGTGAGTTAACAGTGGTTTACCTGAATAAAACCTGACTGCTGTTTTTAAGCATGAGATAGGTAATGCAGTTCTAGTGGGAAACCCCAGAGTGAGTTGTAGTCTGGTGGGCTTGCTCAATAGCCTCATTGATTTACGGATGACCTGGAGGCTAAACAACATTTCTGAGCGGCCAGTCACTGAACATGCTGTTGTAAGTACAGAACCCTTCCTTAATATGGTTATTAAACTTCTCTGCCTCTCTGAGCTTTTAAGCTGTTGGTTTTTAACATCCTATCTCATACTGCTTGCATAAAAGGATTTACTTTAGCACCAAATGGCTCAAAAGTGTGCACACATGCTGTGGGCCATGTGTGAACTTGAAAGGGCTATGTATGAGAAAATATGTACATGGAGTAAAAGAATGCATTAATATGCCAACCATGTTGAAGAAACTGTTTACATGAACAAGACAGAGGCGCAATAAATGGTGCTTTAACAAAAAAGCATTTGCAAAAGGGTAGCTGTGTCTCACAAAAACGCTTTCCTCATCATAACACAGTGGCATTATCAAATTGCCATGCTGGTTTCTGAATCAATGTGATTTGTGCCATTGACACAAAGGTCACTGTTGTCCTTCATTGCATTTTAGCTGATGTGCGTTTCATTGTTCCCCTCCAACGCTTCCGGCTTTTCAAACCAATTACAATAATGACCCAATGGGCATGTTGCTCATTTCATTTTCACAAAGCTGATTAGCCAACGAGGGCCTAATTGGCTAATGACATATCAACAACCGTCATTAACAAAATAACAAAACTAGGTACTTGCCTAATGTCACAAATCACTTACAGGACTTTCCAGTGGCGGCCAAATAACCAAGGTGAACTGATGGAATTACATACTGAGCAGGGATAAAGGCTCGTAATCTTCCAGCAAATTTGACATGATGCTGTCGCTGAAGGATTACGATGTTGAACTGATGTATGCTACACCATTCCTCTGCCTGCAAGGGCAAGGCAGACATCAAATGTGGCATGCTTTTAATAGGACTCCAAGTGCTGTGTGTGTGCTGCGAGGTGGTGTATGAAGAGCGTGTGGAAGCAGATTGTGTTTGCTCTAAGCAGGGCTATATTGGATTGGCTGACCCCATGTTTCCCCAGAGGGCCAGGAGAGCATGAGGAAACATCAGAGAGGAGATAACCTGGGATTCAACATCAGTACTGCAACACTGCCTCAAAAGACCAGCAGAGCCTCATGTCTCTCACACACAGTATGTGACCAAACACACACACACAGCCATATTACAGCAAATACGTGTTGCAAGTGTGATTCTATCTGCTGCTGTCAGGAGGAATGGACAGAAGATATAAAAATAGCAGAAAGGAGCCACGAGTAGGGGAATAAAATCTTATTGAACGACTGCAACCAGACATTGCTTAATCCAAAGTAACAGACAGGTAATAGATAAAGCTTGAGATTAGCACCATCATAGTGACCTTGGACCACACACATGCACATGTACACACAATCTACACCTCAACCGCATATGCAATATGTGCAGCGAATTATATTCTGCTTTCTCTCTCTCACACACGCACGCACACGTTTTCATGATTCATGTGGCTTGTATTTTTTAGAGCGTGATATTGAATAAGACACCATGCTTTAGCACATCAGAACAGGAGTTGCTGGCATGGAAAGATATCTGATGAGTATTATATTTAGTGTGCTCCTAAGAAGCAGAGAGGCATGCTAATATGTTCTGTTGATATAAGGTAAGGCTGCAGTCCAGAACGTCTTTCCATAAAGGCTAGCACGTTACTTCAAAATAGTGTCCCGTTTAAAGGGGAATTCCACTGATTGGTGTGATGTGCAATGCTCCCTTTCTAGACAAACTTAGAGTTGGAATAGTTATAAGAACAGGATGTGCGAAGTAATTAATGCCTCTAAAAGCATCCTCACGAAAAGCTATTTCATTAAATGGTTATGAATGTACTGCTGGGTGTGTAAAACATTATTTTATAGTATTTTATAGTTTTTGGCCACAAATGCATTTTTATTGCATTCCTGGCAGAGAGGTACAAGCAGGGTGCTTGAAGGTAAAATTTTAAAATTTAACACTACTTTAACATAATTAACAAATAAAAACTCAAACACCCGTGTAGGTTCACTCATCATTTTGGATATTTTTGTTGTAGACATCATGACCCTGGTTCATGTCACCACCACTATAAACAAATCAGTGTTGGCAAGTTTCTCTTAAAACAAGGAAAGGCTGCAGCCTAGAACTTATTCCCATAAAGGCTAGCACAATACTACTGATAATACAAAACCTAGTAAGATGAATACTACATACACAATACTACATTTCCTGCTGCAAAAGCTTCTTTCAATAAATACGCTAATTGAAGTTTTATCATTTTATAGTTATATCATTATTACAGTACTGTAAAAATTAATTGATGTATCAGTGTATCATCTGCATCAATTCTAAATGTTAAATATGATATTGATTACAATAATATTCAGTATAGTATGCACCCATGTTTTGGCCAAAGCAAAATTCTCAACCCCCCCCCCAAAAAAAAATTTGGTGAATTGATTGTTTATTGATTCTTGTAGTATATATTCATATATTAAAATTAAACTATTTCTTCATTGAATTATTATTGGGTTTTTAATACTTCTAAATAGTACTAAAATAATCAAATCCATTCGAATTATGTTGAAATTTGACACTTCAGGGTGCACTGAATAATTTCCTAAATAATTATAATTTAATCATTCTAAAGTCAGAGTTTTTTTACCTTAACTTATTTGATTTATCTTGTTTTTTATTCTTATTACTATTATTAATGGTTGTTTTAATAGTTGTAGAGCACAAGAGCTTTGATCAAAAAAAAAATTCCTTGCTGAAAAAGTGTGTTTATTGCATAACGCACTTTGCCAGTTCTGTAAGGTGCACATTCACAATACAATACAAAAATTACCTTAGCATACCACTGCATACTACACTACAGAGCTCCCCTGTGGTACAGAGCCACTGTACAGAACCGGCAAGTTAATAGAGCGTTCAGGAACACACAGCCATTACACTTAATATCGTTACGGCAACAAGCAGTAGAGACATGGCTCTTCTCCAGGGACTCCAGTGTGTAGTTGGGAGAGAGGTACTGAAGCTGTGATGTATAAGGCTGAGGAGAAGAGACATGGCAGGTTAAGTGAGGCAACTAAACACTGAGGAGGTTTGGGTGAATGTGTCCTGTGGAAAGCCTGGGCAGTCTTGGCAGCAGTGCCTGCGGGTGGGAGTGAGAAAGTGGCTCACAGCAGTAGAGGCAGTAGCCAGAAGTAGAGCTAGGACAAAGCAGACACTGACCTTGTCCTTGTAATAAGGTCAGCTCCATTGCAATTCAGATCAAAGTTTCCCTCACTATACAGAGTGCTCTGCGCCATACATAAATGCATGGGTCAGCTGAAGATCAGGGGGTTATATATTGTCATTGGTTTTGTGCTGACTGGCTAAATAAAAACTGCCTCTACCACAATGTAGGTGGGCAATATAAAACTCCACACCAACAAAAAACAAGATACGATGTTTTCATCTCACAGAAACGCACAGCCATTAAACTGAAAATTATACAGCTACAAGCATTAATCACTTTGAATTTGTTACAGTCCTTTCTGAAACCGTCCTGCTCCACCTCCTTCTCATGTTTCTCTTGTAGCATGTTCAAGAAATGTTTACATGTTAGTTATAGGTTCTTTAGCATTTATTCTCAGGGATTTTCTGATACAGACTCTTATTGTAAAGGTGGGGCCAGTTAGCTGAGAGGCTAACCACCAATGCATGCTGTTCCCAACTTTTGTGACGTCAGCAGAAAATCCAGGTGCAGATGTAAACAAAGTTGGTAGTGCCCATGGACAGCGTTTAGCAGTAAACAGTAAGACTAAAATATTTTGATAAAGCAGACTGGGAGGCTTTCCATGCACAATTTCAGCTGGTAGCTATATTGTGTGAGTGGTTTGATGAACCGTGCAGCTGATGCTTGTTTGACTGACAACAAGCATCAGCTGATGATGCATTAGCTTACCTGCTATTGCTAGAACCTAGAAAGACACTGGATTTGTAGGGGCGCTCCAGAGGCGTTTCAGGCAGTGTTTGCACCCCAAGCTCCTTCAATCCGAACTGTGTAACCGCCAAAGACATGCAGGAGAACAATTAAGAGTCCTAGCTAATAATACTGAAATCTTAGCCTGATGAGCTTTTGCTCACATGCCACCTCTTGTACAGAGCAAGATAGCACAAAACCAATTCTT